AGCGGTTATAAAGAATAACCGTACAGTAAAGTTTATCAACACCTACCTGGTCCGACATTGGCAATTATACAAAAGCTCGCGCTAGGTCCGCGGGCTTGATTCCTCGGAAACCTAAAATTTAGCGAGATAATTCTCATTAATAAATTATCTCCTTACTCGGAAAATTATTAAATTTCTCACTTAATCAAAGGATTATGGACAGATGCCGAAAGAGCTCAATGGCAAGCTAATTTTAGAGCACTTTATGACATCATGACCGTTGTAGATCAAATGCGTCACAATATGATAATACAATGCAAGACGATACGTGACGCATGGAAAATCCTCGAGCATCAGTTTGAAGGTAATAGCTCGGTGAACTGTTCCAAGCTCCAAAAGATTACCATGGAGTTAGATGAAGTTCGCATGATGGATGACAAAAATATTAATAGGTACTAAGCATGATTTTGGATCTCGTTAACCAAAGTCCATGCTTCGTGAGGAGGTTTCTGAGGTGAGGCAAATGAAAAAGATCTAGGATCCTTCCCAAACGACTTTGTAAGAAGATCACGGCATTGAGAGCTTCCAGTGAGTCGAGCCTCTCGGTCTTGACGACTTACTCTGAGCCCTTCGAACCTTTGAATCAATTGTGGTTATGATGTGATTGAAATCAAAGGCACAGCCCGATGGTGAAGAAGGTGAGCGAGAACAATTCAAAGATTATGAATTCAATGACGTGCTGACGATTTTTTTCCAAGAAATTTGACGAGTTGCTAAAAAATGTACAAAAACTCTAAAGAGAAAAGCCATCTAAACTCAAGAAGAGTAATCAGCATTCCAACACACTTCCCAAAAGAATCGAAATCAGGATATAGAGAAGGACCAATGTCGTGAATGCAAGAGATTTGGACAATTTCAGAAAGGCTGTCCAAATTTTACTAGGAACAACAAAACCCATCAGGCCACGTGGGGTGATGATAAAGACGACAACGACCATCAACACACCAACAATTTTTTCGTTTGTCTTCTCAACAACTTCACATGTTATACAATCTCTCATAAGCCTTTTGATGACGATTCATGTATGTGTTCTCACACGTATAATTCTCAAAGCGATTCTAATGATTCTGGAGATGGTACTAATTCTGTTGATGTAGACTTGACTACCAACAAGTTTGCATTAGAGACATGCCTCAAATTTAGACAAATAGTGAAAAATATACAAGCTCAAGTGAAGGAGTTAGATTGCCCACTTGAAGGATGAACTTCAAAAAACTTACGTGATGAATGGCGAATTAAATGATAAGCTAACCAAATCTAAAACTCGTACTAGCACGGAAGAACATGAGCTGGACGAATGTGTTGCCAAAATCAAGATGTTCGAACACAAATAAAAAAAAGTTATCACAATCAGGTATGTGATGAAAAAGATTTTGTCATTGAATCTCTGCGTAATAAAATGTTTGCCTTGTAGAAAATTATAGGTAAAAGGGTTTCTGAGATTGTTGTCCTCAAATGTGAACCTGGATAGGTTATGGAAGAACGTGTGAGCCTCCAAAACTATTGCACTGAAATTGAAAAGCGTCTGAGCAGTAATGATGAGGTGATCAAGATGATCAATAATCCTGAAGCTTCTTTCTCTCATGTTCAAGACCTGAACAAACGAGTGAAAGGAAAAGGTTTCGGAAACCAATATCCTAGACCGAAAGGTAAAGCAAGTACTAGTTCACAAGGAAAGCTCTTTCTAGCTTTTGTGAAACAAGGTTCCAACCTTGATGGTAAGGTTGATCATGTGAAAGAACATCCTAAACGTTTTGTAAAAAAATCTATTCATACTCATCACTATTATGGGATTTTTTGTCTTATTCATCCTAGATGCTATATGATGTTTAATGATTTGAATGAGGTAAGAATTACAGATTGGAGCCCACTGGTGTACCAATGAGAACACAAAAAATGAAGGTTGACATAAAGAACCATAAGCAGCAGAAAATTTGGGTTCTCAAAAGGAGTTTTACTTGTCTTTCATCTCTGTTTGCTTCGAAATATGCTTTTAATGGTGATTGGTATTTTGATAGTGGATGTTCTAGCCACATGACGGGTATTAGATCGAAATTGATTGATGTTTCATCTGTGTCTCATGGTTCAGTTACTTTTGGCAATGGTGCTAGTAATAAGGTTTTAGGAATTGGATGTTTGAACATACCTTGTCTTCGACTTGATAACGCTTTGTTGGTTGAGAACTCGAATGTTAATTTGCTGAGTGTTAGTCAATTATGTGATCAAAGCTTTTCTATGAGTTTTACTTTGAATGAATGTTTTGTTTTCAGATAGGAATAATAAATGTGTTCTTACAGGGTCTAGATCACATTATAATAGGTATTTGATTAACTATATGGCTATTGACTCATGTGATACTAGCTCTAGTATTGTTTGGGATTATGATGCCGAAAGGGATGAGAATGTCATTGATTTATGGAGTACGTCTGATGGATGTTCTTAAACCAATCAAAATTTCGTTGTTGAAACTTGTTGTTCACAAAGCGTGTGGATGAAGCACATTTTGCTTGAATTTGGAATTGAAGTACAAGCCGTTGACCTGCTCTATGTCTTACTTGCACGGCTAATGTTTACAAATATTCCGTTCAACATTCACTTAAGCGTACAAACATGCGATACCACTTTACAAGAAATTTGTT